TAATATTTAATTTTTAGTTTTCGGTGGACACAATGTCTTTATTTTATTTTTATGTGGTGCTGAGGATCGAACCCAGTGCCCCATGCATGCCAGGCAAGTGTGCTACCGAGCCACATCCCCAGCCCCCCCATCCTATTTTCATCCCTTTGTTCTTTCTTCAATCTTCCCTTTAAAAACCACTCTCTGGTCCCAAGGAGAAAGATGGACTTTAAATAACTTCCTCCATCTTCTTGGTCAGCTTTCTTGCTTCAATACTACTCCTCTACTTTATTGATCTGTTGTCCTGAGCAGCTGGACATGGATCAGGTAACAACAGGATCATTGCTTAGGGAAACACAATTACCACTATTGAGACTTTGTGAAGCACTCAATGGGCTCCTGATGGTTTAGGAGTAAGTTAACCCAAATTATGACCAACAACCTGCCTCACTTTGACATACATAAAAATTATTTGTGTTTTTCTTTAGTATTTTTTAATTCTCTTTCAACTATTTTAAATGCATTGGCTTTCCCAGGTTATTTTATGGGTAATTAATGTTTATTCTTAACATAAATTTCATATCTAGTTACACACTACAGTGAGAAACAATTACCTTCAGAAGGTAATGAGTACAAAATTTATGTTGATAAAATATCATTTACAAAACTATTTCTCCAGATACAGAACATAATTACAGCTCACGTTTGCTTTGTCTAACCTCACATTACCAAAACTCCTACAAAGCCACTTTATCCTCAGGAATTTCAGCACTGAGGGGAAGAGCTGCCTCTACAAACACTCCACCTGATTGTTCAGGACACCATGTGGGGATCAGAGGGAGGGAATGGGGAGAGGTTGATTGATGGGTACTAAGCTACAGTTAGATAGCAGCAACAAGCTCAGGTGTGCTACTGCACAGTAGGGTGACTACTGATAACAATGATGTACTGAGTACCTCAAAAAGCTAGAAGAAAAGGATCCTAAAAGTTTTCACCATACAGCAATGATAAATGTTTGGGGAGACAAATTTGTCTAACTAGACTTCCACATTATGCAGTGAATACCTGTTTTGAAACATTACATAACGTCCCATCAACAGGCATAATTTTGATGTTTTTATGTATTAAAACATTTTTAAAAAATGTTTAAAATTTTAAAAAAATTAAAACTTATTATAAATTTCTTAGAAATGTGTTTCTTGCAGATGTTTTCATAGATCAGTTAGCTAAAAACAGAGGGGAAGCACTACAGAACTTTAAAGATTACAGAACAAAACCAAAAGAATCTTTAAAAGATTAAAACAATTAAAAACAAACTTCTAGCATGTTATTATAGTCCTACAGATTAAAGCTTCTCAAAATACAGGGTAGAAGTTTTGGTAATCTCAATATCCAATGCATCTTCCAAAATGATCACCATAGCTCCATCAGATTAAAGTGTTTGGATACATCCTTTCACACCAGAAACGTAAGGAACTTTCTCGCCTTCTGTAAGCTGGGATGTCAAACCTCATCCATGCTCAAATAAAACTGTGCCAGTATATCAGTTATACTGCTGAGCATCTCAGTGTATTTGGCTCAATAGTATTACCCAATAGGTATATAGTAAAATAAAATAAAGACCATAGAAATGCAATCAAGCCAGACCGAGCAGGTGCTGGCTTTTGCCAGTTCACTAGTGATCATCTCAGAGTTTGCCATTTCTGTCCAAGCATCATTCAGAATGACTCCATTGATTTTTTTCTATAGTTCATCTGACAACTAATTTAAACCCTCAACTTGACACAGTCACTCACCTTTACAAAATTCTTGCTTTCTGTTGTAGACATGTGACTTATTCTTATCAATGGACTATGAGAAAAGTGATATATGTCAGGGCCAATATGGTAATCAGAAAAAAAAAGTGCCTTTTCAGCTCTTCCCATTCCTTCATTTTAAGGCTAGATGTTGCTGTCCAGGGCGATCTTCAAAGTAACATATTAAAGATGACAGAACATCTGAGCCCCTGAACATTCTGTGGGGCCTGAACATCTCTGTGCCCTACCATCATGTCCCTCAGACTTTGCACAAGTAGGAAGTTAATCTAATCTCATGGGTTTTAAACCACAGAAAGTTTATATTCTTTCTGTTGCAACATTAGCACAATCTTGAATGAGACTGTGTTATCTTCTTTTTATACTATCCAACCCCTTTCTTACTTCCCAGATCCTTTGTCCATGTTGGACATGCATTAAAATACTCCCAATGCCAGTATGAAATAGGGGTAGATTGTCTCATTGAACTTTGTGACTGACACTTTCCTCATAACGAAGAATTAATAATTATATTGATTTAAATATACACTGGGGCAAACAGTATAGATATTTGAGTAATTCTTCCAACTTACCCAGGTTGAGATTCAGGCAAGTTCTAGGCAGAATTGACTCAGGTCAGGATTAACAAGACAGTGGGGTTTCCATCATTTCTGCAGAGTGACTGAGCAGACAGAAAAGGGATTGTAATATGTCCACCTTTCTCAGGTTTCTCAGACTCTTGCTTTCCTGTTAATTCATCAATTATATTTTCATTGTAGCCTTTAAAACAATAATATTCAGTTATTCCTTTTAAGTTCCTATTTGAGAAACTTCTCAGAGAGAGATACTAGTCTTATTGCAACTCCTGGATTCTCCAAGTTTCTCTTTGCACACTTTGTGGAATAAAGCCAAAAATCTTAACTCATTCCCATTGTTTACTTGTTGTAAAAAACAAGACTTATGTTAGATCACCTATTTATAAGTAATCAAGAATGGGTGATGTGAGGTATTCAGAATCAAAATGCTTATTCTTTCAAAAAGACATGTACAGTTGAGACCTTACCAAATTTCCCAGTATGACATGGTTTCACACTGCAAATAGTGCAAGAGAAATTTTATCCATCTGAGTGCATCTGATAATTGAATAAAAGGAGGAGAAACGAGAAATAAGGAAAAATTAAGAAAATTAAATTTTTACTTAGGAAGTTATGAAGTCCCTTGCATTGGCTAAAAAATAAAATAAAATAAGAGAACAAACAGAAAAAAAAATGTGTTGGTCTATGTGCATTTTCTAGAGAGCAAAACAATTACCACTGGATTAATTTGGTTCCTAAGGAAAACACGAAATACACACTTCAGTTGCATTGAATTGATTTGGGGGAAAGAAAAATAACTGTCCTATTAACGAAATGATAGAATTGTTTCACTATTCGACAAAGAATAAATCGGCATTATTGATTTTGTCACCATGTGCCTTGTGCTTCTGCCGTATTCAGTTGACCTTATATAAGCACAATGGCCCAATAACAATGAATACTGCGTATCTGAAACCAAGGTCTCAGCAGGGTGATCCTTCTCCTCTCCTACTGGGAAAAAAATAATAGCTGTGGAAGAGAATGGAAAATAAAGCTCACAGTTGCAGGCCATCGCAGGTCTGCCTGTTCAAGTTCAACATCACATGCCTGTGATTAGCAGCATATGGGTCAGTCACCATCTTTCCTTTTTTTATATTCAGAACCTCTGTATCTTATTATTAGAAATAGTTAAAGGCAAAAACAGAACATGGTAATTTAGTTTTCAGAGTAGTAAATATGAAGATGTTATCCTGAGCATCTTGTTGCCAAACTTGTAACATCTACAGAACAACAAAACAGAATAATTCTATACAGAAAGGAAACATGTACAATCTGACATCTGGTGCATGGAGAGTGCCTTCTGCTCATCTAACCCTGGAACTCACTGCTTGGAGCTGCCCACGTGTGAAGCAGCTTGATCAAAAATCAACACCTGCAATTCAAGTGCTTACCTAGATAATTTTTATTTGTGGTGCATGCTTGAAACCACTAGCTGCTTTATTCTGCTTGTCATTGTTCCTTTTTAGCAGTCACATAGATCTTTAGTTGTGTTTGAGCTGTGGTTTCCATGGAGATGGCTACATATCTTTTTTGATACTCTTCTGCCCAGGACTCTACAAAATGAGCTTTGTGAGCAACATCAGTGCTTCTCAAACCATCTGTGGTCCAGGATCATGTTTTCTTATTTCCAGATCACCACACATTTGTACTGTGGTCTTGTGCATGTGACCAACATCTCATCCAACTCATCATTCAAACGGGTCTGTATTCTCTGTTCAGTAACTTGAGTCAATTAAGCTGTTACTTGGGAATTGCAGCAAAGTCACCTTGTATGACAGATTCTAAAAACTTATGTCTCAATTTCTGCATTGACCTTACGAGGGACCAAGTACAAAGAGTCTGATTCCTAGCTACAGGCCACCAATCACACTTTGATTTGCACCATGTTACATGACCTATATTTTAACTCAGATCATTAAAAACAAAACCAAAAACAAATCAGAAAATTAACTGCAAACAATTAAATCCACAACCATAGTCTTCAAAATTTGCTGAAAACGAATGTGGCTTTTTGAAATTTCTACACCAGACAAAAGCTTTATTTTGTTTCTTCAAATGATAAAGGTCTAGATGGGTACAGAGAGTTCAGGAAAACAAATAAGTCATTTGAAATACTCTTCCCAAGTGGTTTGGCTGGTAGATGGAAGCCACTGTGTCATTGTACATGCTGTTAGGAGGAACCCAGCAGACTTATATTTATATCTCTGTAGGTTCTTTTTTAATTCTTTTGTAATATAATTCACTAAAGATACATATGTAAAAATAAAGATTGATCTTTATTATTACTATATATTATATAATATCATATTATTATTACTATCATATCATATAATGATATGATACATTTCTTATATTACCTTTTTTTAAATTTATTGACACAGCTCCAATAATCATATATAAATAAAAGGGCCAACATCTTTTTTTTTTTTTTCTGGTGTTGGTTCTAGGGATGGAACCCAGGGCCTCATGCACTCTAGGCAACTGCTCTACCACTGAGCTACATCCCTGACCCAACAAGACCTATATCCAGTAGTAAGTCCCAAAATACAGAATAAAACTGATATAACCATATTTACAGAAGAAAACAAGTAAAGGCATTATCAAATGTTTTTAAAGAGAGAGAGAGAGAGAGAGAGAGAGAGAGAGAGAGA